CTTTGTTGGTTTATTTTAAAAAGTGACGATCACCACAGATGTGTGATCTTCTTCTGCTCAGATATACAAAACTCTKGAGATCTTCAGATGATGAAGGCAGACACACAACATGTTTGCCTCCTGACCCAGTTCATATTCCATCTTCTGCACACACACTAATATATATAAGCTACGGTATTATACCACCCTTTTATTATCTTCCATAGGCCTGGACAGAGAAATGAATCATCAGATTATTTGCTGTTTGTCCAGGTTTCAGCAGTCTGTTGAAGATAAAATCCTGTTTCCTGACAGGTTTTGTTATATTTGGTGTATTTCATCAATTTAACTAAAGAAATTGGACCAAATTGTGTCTTTATGACTGGCTGCTGACAAATGATATCACATTGTTTTTACTTTGAATCTCTTCAACTTGCACTTGCAAAACCTAAAGGCAAATAAATTTCAGCGTTCATGAACTTGACACACAATTGTTGCAGTTTTGTCTTAAATATGTTCAGATTCAAGTGTGATTTATTGACATTTTGTTTCTTTAATATGCCCCAATCTGACAGAAACTAAACGGACACAGATCAAAAAATGGGTTTGAGGCACTCAAAATGATTTTGTTTTGCATGTTTGAAGTTTACAGGACAAAAAAATGAGGCTCTGSGACACAAGGACGTTGAAAAGTCTCGTTGATGTTTCAAGACATCATGGAAACCTGGAGATGTTGTTTGTCACCAATACTCTGTGATAAAAGATCAAGTCGTACAATCAACTAGAATATCACCCTGATGCAGTCTTTAAGCTTTTATGTAGAAAACTGCTGACTCGGCAAGAAGATCGCCCAACCTGACAGTCAGGTCTTCATTTRGAGAAATGTAAAGTCACTCTGTTAACAAGCAGAGAAACATGYAACACAACTGACCAGACGTCCAGTCAGTCACTTTATTAAACTGTTTGGAAATCAGCTGCTCAGCCAACCAAGACTGGATCATCAGAGTCCGACCCGCACATCATCCTTCAGTCCTGACAGGTCTGCTCCACTGCAGCTGTCAGACTCTGGATGACTGAGTCTTATTGATCAGCTGCTGTGTCTGTGTACGTGTGTGTGTTCATGTGTGTGTGTAACACAAAGATACTCAATGACATTCATCACTCTGGCTTCAAGGGTTACAGGTTCAGGTTTTAGTATCCCTACATGTCCTGATCCAGGTCTCCAGGTCCAGAACCAGATTYGTGAGAGAAAACTGAACTGATTCAGGTGTCGAAGGAGCGCCAACGTGTCAAAACAAACAAGAGGACAAAACCATCATCTACAATAAAATGTGATGGTTTCTGCCTCCGAAATTGTTTTTATTCCATGTTTTGAATGTCTACGATTTTAGCACCTCTCCACTGTTTTTCTTTTCTTTTTTTAGAAAGACTTCATATTTTCTATAATGATTTGTTTTAAAGTCACAGGCGTAGATTTAAGAATACATTTTTAAATGAGTTGTGGAGAGATTTTTTGGTAGTTATCAAAACTTGTTTTATGAGACAAAAGAAAACAGATAAACTTCACTAAATAAAGAACCTTAATCATGTAAAGCTTCAGGAAACAGATTTTAAGGCTTTACATTTCAATTTTAAACAGAATGTAACACGATAAACATGTTGTCCTCTGATTTAGACCAGCAGGTGAGAAGATGCAGATAAATTTACTTGAACCTGGTGTCAGAAGGAGCTTATATATATATAT